CATGAGGAGACGGTTCTGGATCTGAACCCAGATACAGGTCAGACAGGTACAGGTACTCACACCAACACAGACAGGTACAGGTACTCACACCAACACAGACAGGTACAGGTACTCACACCAACACAGACAGGTACTCACACCAACACAGACAGGTACAGGTACTCACACCAACACAGACAGGTACAGGTACTCACACCAACACGGGTCGGACTGCGTTGTTCATGTTGCCGTACGCGGCTCGGCCCAGCAGCTCTCTGAAGCAGTTCTCAGCCAGCACAGCAGGGTTCTCCTCACCATCCTGACCCACCACTGATGGTGTGCTGGGATGCCCCGCCCTAACAGGAGAGGACAACAAAAGAACAGGAAGTGAAGGTTTAGGTTGTACCTGATCTCTCTGTGACAGGAAGGAGACAGTTTTCTGGGTTTATTTTACATTTTAGCTCAACRTCTGTAAACTGCCTGACTTACAGCTGACTGTGTTTTGATTAGCTRTGACAACCATCTTAAATTGATGTTACTCCAAAGTTAATTAGCTCCACATCCAGTGATTAGTTTGTTTCATTAAAATCCATCAAATAATTCATGATATTTTGCTGAAAAGACAAATGACAAAACAAAACTCTCCCTACAGGAGAAAATTGAGTTTCTGGTTTATTAAATGAAGMGATTTAAAAATGAGTCATCGCCCGTCAACGAGACGCTCGTCTCTGTATCACCGCTCATCTGTCCTGACATGAAATCTGACAGAGAGGTCAAAGGTCAACTCATTTAAAGCTCCAGTGTCACTGTGTGAAATGTGAGGTGTGTGAGCTGTCACATCGCACTACAGTAATGATCTTTACAGGAAATCACCACAGGCCTCTGTGATGCGTTCAGGGTCCAACTAATGACCTGAGCTGCAACAACACATAACTGTGATGCGTTCAGGATCCATCTAACAGTCTGAAGAACAACACACAGAAATATGATGCGTTCAGGGTCCAACTAACAACCTGAGCTACAACAACACATATAACTGTGATACGTTCAGGATCCATCTAACAGTCTGAAGAACAACACACAGAAATATGATGCGTTCAGGGT